AATCCTTAAGTCCCACACTCAACTTTACCACTCACTTTTTGTTCAAGGTCTTATTTTTTTTTCTTTTAACGGAGGTACCGGGTATTGAACCTAGGACCTTGTGCATGCTAATCACGTGCTCTATCACTGAGCTATACCCTTCCCCCTTGAGGTCTTGCACTTTATACTTGATAGAGAAAATTGAGGCCATCCATATGAATCAACTTAGCCTCTACTTCCCCTCAGCTACATTCATACTCATATTTCCTTCTCTCTTTCAAGTCTTGGAGAATGAGGCATCTCTCATGCTAGCCAAGGCCAACTCATCTAGAAAAACCTCCTTTTCAATGATCCTTATTTATAACGTATAACAATCTCATCATCTTCAAGATCTGACTTGATCAACAAACGAATGTTGCGAAAAGATCGGCCCCCGTTCCTGACGAGCCAAATAACCCAGAGACAAGGTCTTGGAGCTTAGAAGAAAAGAAGCAATTTTATTGCCTTGTCGGGCAAAGGGGACTCACATCAGGTTAGTGCCTTCACAGCTGTGAACCCACCTTGGGGATGGGGTGGGGTGGTTATGTAGCCAAGGCTCAAACAATAAAGCATTGATAAGAAGCCACAGAATCATTTTCTCATCAGAAGACTTAGAATGGTGACATGATGCCTCCAGGTGACCAATTCTATAGAGGCCAGCGGTTAGATCTCTTTATCTAACCGCAAGGTGTGGTCTTCTTGGTAATTCAGGCTATTTTGTAAGGTTACAGTCCTGTGACCTTCTCCTTGGAGAAGGACTCAGAGACCAAGTTTGATCATTACTTTCAATTACTGGAATAAAGCAGAATCAGTAAGATCAATAGCTTTAGTCTTAACAATGGGCCTGGAACCGTGAGTAGCAACCAGTCAGTCAGGTCAGTTGACCCTTTTAAGGGCAAGTGTAAGAATAAGCAATCTGTTAGCCTAAGTGTGGCCACTTTATTAACCCTCCTTCACTAACACCTAATTTATGTAAAGTACATGATTCAGTGATCAGAATATAGTAAATGTTCAATGAATATAGCTCATACATTCCCCTTCCAGTCCAAGCCTCTTCCTTCCTGAAACAGAATATTCTTGTAATCTGTATCCACCTTTATTTTTCCCTTCTCTTTTGAGCCTACTTCTCTCTGTTCCCACTTTCTCAGTTTCCACCCACTTAACATTCTGAAATCTGACTTTGCCTTTATCACTCACTGACATGGCTCTCAAAGATGAGGCTCTCCATGTTGCAACATACCAAGGAAGAGTGATTTATTTAATTCTTTGA